ATGAATAGAAGGTATATTAAATGAGCTTTATTTTTTTCAAAAAACTCTGGCTTTGCCTTAAGTGGTGTAATAAAATTGAGCATTTCAGGTGCTGAAGCATCAAGACTGTAGCGGTCACATGAATGCTTTCAACCTATGAGGGAACGGCACGCTATGGAAAGCGTGGAAAATGGAATGGAAAAATGGAAAAATTTAAAAAAAAGTGGAAAACGCCAGCAACATGATTTTAATTAACAACTGAAAATGATCTCACATGCGAAATATTATTTGCGGCATTTTATTGTTGTCATACAGCAATTTTGTTAAAGCTTTTCAAAAATGTGATAATGTTCTTCGCATGAATCGTGCTGTCAAAAATTGAAGTAGGCTGTAAATAAAAATTTGCCATTGTGAATTTGACTACAACCTCAGCTCAACAGGGGTCAATGCCGATTTGTGCTTCGCAGATCAATTCCTCTCACGAGTAGTTGCTGATGGCAATGATACATAGAAATCTAGCCGAGAGAAACGCGAAGCGAAGAAGCGGCATGGTGCGGTGGACGCGTTAGCGTTAAGCAAGGAATATGGCGTGTTCGATCCGCATCAAAGACACCTACGGGGCGAAGTTTAGCAAAGGTTTCAGCATCTTTATGGTTGAACATCACTTGTTTTCAAAATTTCTCAACAAAAGATGAGTCAAGTCAACTACGTGGTATGTTTATGCCGCGGTATTAACCAGTTTCCACACCCCAGTGTTTTCAACTGTAGTGCTCCAAAGAATCAGTCAAGGTTAAGGAGGCTTGATGTCGCCAGAAACCAAACTGGTTGACCTGAATATACCGGACAAATAGACCCGTGTAGATACATGATGAATGACCCTCAATTTCTTTAAATAAACCTCTTGTCTACGCCGAACTCTGTTGTTAGCTTGGTAGAAGATCTCTGTGGCACACGTCAATCCAAAACCAACAGCGGTTCCAAGAAGTCCTGTTAATAGAATTTCGTTTTTCGTATTTTTATGGAGTTATCCCTTCTCGAGTGCTTTCTTCTACCACATACGAACAACGCAGGCAATACGGAAACTGTTCCCAAGAACGACTTTTTATTAGCCTCGGCATTGGATTATAAATCTGTTGTTCTCTTTTTTACAGCAATCGCGAGGTTGTTATTCAGCACACGTTCACTTTCTCATAAATATAACACACACAACACAACGGTAGCTGATGACGTTTTCGGCAGTATCGCCTTCTCCAGAGCCTGTAAAGGTACACAAACATGTAATTCACTTGGGGAAACCCTTTAACAACGCTTTAGACTCCCGTGCGAGAATAGCAACTTTTACATCAAAGTTTTGTCCGCTATGTTTTTGCATCCTATGCGTGCCCAGCGACGTGCCTAGTTTTGATTTTCGTTTGCCATCTATGTGTTCTTTCATGCGGATACAAAAAGGCCTGACCATTTTGCCGATATATTCGTCTCCGCAAGTACTACAAAAAACCATCTATATCGTACTTGAGCTCATACAGTCACCGTCTCTGCCGTAAGCGCAATTTGGTGTTACACATGTAATGCCATCATTGAACTTACACTTTGCAACACATCCTGCCATCGAAAAGACTGGGCAGTAAATAAACGGTTAAGATTTTGATCATAACTAAAGCCTCAGCTTAACTGGGTTCATTTTCGATTTGGGTTCTTCAGATCAATCTCGTTAACGGGTGATTGCTGTTGGCAAAGAAGGGATGGGAGGTACGTGCATGGTGTGGCGCGAAATGCGTTAGCCCCCGGCAATGGTATCAGAGTGTTCGTTCTCACCGCAGACACCTACTGTCCTGTGTTTTGCAAATATCTCAGCATCGTCTTGGTTCTGTCTTTGTTAAAGAAGTAGAGAAAAATGTGGATTTGCTTCATGTCGGATTGTAATCAACAGATTGCTTGTTTTCTGCGTGCCATTGAAATCAGCAATCAATCGTCAACGGCATTGGTCTGATGGTCACAAATCGGCATTGAAACTTGTTAAGCTGAGGTTGTAATGTATGTAAAAATTACATTATCTTTGAAAGACTAGAAAAATTATTTTATAGCAACAATATAACGCGAAATAAAATTTGTCAAATGCTAGATTATTTTCAGCTGTTGATTAAAGTTATGTTGCTAATTGGGAAATCATTTTGAGAAGGTTTGTCCAGTTTTTCCATCTTATTGATTCACAACACGCCTTTCGTAGTTTGGTTGCCGGACCTTATTGGTTAGAAAATATGTTAATTTTTTACTCAGGAAACCTTAGTACCGCAGTTCACCTGCGGATTGAGTCTAACTCTCAAATCTATGTGATTTGCCGTAGCACGCCGTTCCCTAGTGGGTTCAAGGGTTGCTTTAAAGCTCATTGTGAAAACATTTATCCCACCGCTCCTGACTCTATGCTTAAGCCTCTAAAATACCCAGTTCTATTTGACCATTTGAGGTAGAGCCAGCGTTTTTTGAAAAAAAATAAAACCCATTTAATATTCCCTCCTTTCACAATGGTAAATTTTGGGACGCTAACTTTGGTGACGTGTCAGGCTCTTCACTCTCATTTCGTTTTGTTCGTTACAGTAGCTTTCTCCAGAAACATGGATTTTATATTTGACACAAAAATACAGTAATATAATAATTCACGGGTTGTCAAGTTCAAATTGTTACATTTCTCGACTATAAAGAAGTTATTCTTAGAGTAATCACTTATAGTTTGTTACTGCTGTTACCGTAGGGTACCAAATGTATCACCTGTAGTCCCGTTGATCCTTGAGTAACTCGAGCGGGCGCCAGTAAATCTTCCATTTTTTTTCCTGTCACGTGCAAGAGTAGTCTAGTGGGATCTGCTCGCTCTAGGGACTCATCGAGCACCATATCTTTCCACAAGGCTCTTGTGAAGAACTCTGACCATCGGGTCAGTGGTCTTCCTGCAGTGTGTTTGATATCCTGGGTAATCCAGTCACTAACGACTCTTGTCCATCGGTTGTCATCCATATGCATTACGTGTCCGCTCCACCTTATCTTCGACTGTTTGAAATGCAGAAGGGCATCCTTGGTTTTGATAGTTGATGCAATTGAGTTTCGGATCCCATCTCTCACTAGTGTGGAGCGGGATACTCCTAGCATCGTCCTTTCGACTGCTCGTTCGATAACGCTGAGTGACCTTTCAACCTGCTTACGCAGCGACCAGGTTTCTGACGCATACGTTAGGGCAGAAAGTACCGTTGAGTCGAAAAGATGGGCACGGAGTCCGTTGTTCTTTATTCTCTTCACTACACTCTCAATGCCCTTGAAAGCTTCCTAAGCCGCTCATTTCGTTCTGCTCAGCTCTGGAGCTAAATCGTTCATCGTATTGAGTTTCCGACCTAGACAGACATAACTGGTTCATTAGGAGATATTCGTTCTTTGAACGTGAATGGTGCGTACCAAACCTATCCGTTCTTCATGAACATCGTTTTTGTGAGATTTAGTCGAAGACCAATCTTTCCACAAGCTTTATCAAAGTCGGCAAGCTTACGTTCCGCATGGCTAATGTTTGGTGTTATAAGAACGAAGTCATCAGTAAAGCGAAGATGATTTAACTGCCAACCATCGATTATCACTACTATATTTTCCCATTTCAACTCATTGCAATGTTTGCAAGACGTTTTGGAGAGTGGTGGTAGATAATTTTGGCGAGATGGTATCGCCTTGCCTAACCTCTCCTTGGACATCAATGTTAATATCGATGTAGAATAGTGATATCTTGGCTGTGAATTAATTGTACGACACACGAAGGGTCTTTATGTACTGAGTAGGATTCTTTGATTATCAAGGGCTTCCATGACTATTTCTATCTCAACTGAGTCAAGGGCCCTCTGTAAATCGATGAACGTGAGACAGAGCGGCCTTTTGTACCCTCGCTACACTCCAGTGGGCCTTGTTATCGTGTGGATGTGGTCCATCGTACAAAATCTTTTTCGAAACCCTGCTTTTCACATAGCTGTCCTTCGCCCATTGTTCTGTCAATCCTGTTCATGATGACTTGAGTGAAATGTTGGTGGAAGATAGACAGTAAGCAGAGCGGGCGATAGTTGCCGATTTCCTGTAAGTCACCCTTCTTGAAAAATAACTCGGTCTTGCTGGTCTTCTACTGATTAGGGGCCTTGCATTAAGTCAAGTCACGTGTAATGAGCTAAGCCAATGCTTTCACGAAGACTAGCGGAAGGTTCTTCAGGTGTTCTGATCTTATCTTGTCCGGACCTGGTGCTGTTAGATCTTCACCGACGAAATGACATGCGGAATTTCGGAAGTGAGAACCGGTGGTGGAACATCTCTATCCTCCTTTATTTTATATGACGGATGGTGTACGTTGCTATTGGAGAGGTCTGAGTAGTATTCGTGAATGATTTCCCTCATTGCCTTTCCGGACGCTGTAACTCTTTCGTCAGGGTGTCGGAGCGCAATCATCTTTGTCTTGTAATTGGCGAAGCTTTGGTGGGCTTTGCGAATGCTTTTTCGAAGCTCTGCAGCTTCGACCATTACTGCTGCTTTTCTCTTATTAAGATCTTGTTTTTTGCTGGTGTGCATTGTTTTGCAAAGTTCGGACGTTTGTTTGCGGTGGCCTGCAGCTCGTGCTATTCCACGCTGGCGTCTCAGCTCGTTTCTGGAGACACACATGTCTTGGTGATTTTCGAACTCCGGGCTTTCATAGCGCTAACGTTAAGATGTTGAACGAGCCAATCGTATTTCTCATCGATGTTATCCACAACGGCATCTTCTCAACAGCCGACTAATAAACTGAATGAGCCCCAGCTTATGGTGGCTCTGAAAATTCGGTTTTTAAATTTAATTGCTTTTTCTCTTTTTCGCGAGAAATAGAATTTTGCACGAAGGAGACGATGGTCTGATCCCGTATAGAATTTTAGGACAATAGATAAATTAATTATTCGCATGTTCCGAGGAACAGTTCTCGGATGCCATAGACGGCGTTGAATGGGTGGCGTAGTCTCGTTTCGGCCAGGCCGATGACGTCATTCCTTATCCTTCTGAAACTGACAGAACATTACTGGAACGTCTGGAGCCGTGAATACTTGAAAGGTCTCCGAGAAACTCACAAACTCAATATAAATAACAAACGAGGCACTCGAACGAACCCAACCATAGGGACGGTTGTACTAATTCAAGATCCAGCTTTGCCACGAAACGCGTGGAGAATGGCGCGCATCATCGATTTGAAGCAAACAGAAACGGGTGCAATCCGAGAAGCACAACTCAAGCTACCGAGCGGACGTATCATAAGAAGACCAATTAACTTACTAATTCCGCTTGAGCTGGAAGACAGTCCGGCAGAGAAACGGTCCGGCACAAATGATGAAACGGAGTCGCCGAATAGCAATCCGCATAGCGCAGCTGGAATCCCAGATCAACGTTATAATCTCCGACCTCGATCACGTGACAACAACGTGCTTACAATCGGCCAAAGATGTTGCTCTCCGCAAGTCGAGGAGGATCACGATCCGAAAAAGCATTCCGAGGAAAACGGTCAAGGAGAACGAGAATCGTTGTGCCACCACTATGACCTTCAATCAGAAAAATTCACTCAACGTACAACTTCAGCCACCGCCCTGCCCACTCCTATGGAGGTGGGGGACTATAGAGAATTCCTCAATCAGATAGAGAATTCTCTATCCGTATAACTAATACAGTCNCTCGATCACGTGACAACAACGTGCTTACAATCGGCCAAAGATGTTGCTCTCCGCAAGTCGAGGAGGATCACGATCCGAAAAAGCATTCCGAGGAAAACGGTCAAGAAGAACGCGAATCGTTGTGCCACCACTATGACCTTCAATCAGAAAAATTCACTCAACGTACAACTTCAGTCACCGCCCTGCCCACTCCTATTGAGGTGGGGGACTATAGAGAATTCCTCAATCAGATAGAGAATTCTCTATCCGTGTAACTAATACAGTCCACGAATCGATGGGGATCGCGTGGCTGCAACGCCGCGCGCATCCTCTGCGTCCATATCCCGTTCCGGCCATGGGACACACCCAGTAGTCCCGCCATTCGACCCAACGACGCCGTCGAGACCGTCCTTGCCAGCCCCATCGTTAATTCCACTCCGTTAATTTCACTTTGTACATTCATTTGCTTAGGTTATAATGATAGTATAGGTAGCCCTTAGCCCGTGAATCGCTGACACATAAGTGTTATCGTCGTCTTTCGTGTAATTATGTTATCCGTGTTAACATAAGTTAAATACATTCATTGTTCACAGGTACCTCACAAACGGTTCATAGTTCTTGCGCACTCCCGCGAACGCCCCTCACGTCCTCGACCTGTGAGCCGTTACATTGGTGTGTGTACTATTGTTAATGTCTTTTATTAGGTAACAAACCCACTGAACCACCTTATTCACAGAAGTTGCATATTGCCTTGTGTTGTTGTGTAAGTAACATGTGTATACTAATAAAGGTTCAATTACCCAAGTTTGAGGTACATCACAAACGGTTTATAGTTCTTGCGCACTCCCGCGAACGCCCCTCACGTCCTCGACCTGTGAGCCGTTACATAGCTTTTTATCCATATTTCTGTAGGAGTATTCCAGTTATGGGGATATCGATACAGTCCGTAATCAGGATTTTTTGTCACAGTAAAATCACCTGCTATTCTTTGTGGTAAAATGTTAAAGAAATAGTGTAAAATGAGGATCTGTTTCGTGTTGGATTGTAATCAACAGTTTTCTTCTTAATCTGTTGTTCTCTTTTCTGCAGCAATCGCGAGGTTGTTTTTCAGCTCACCTCTACTTTATTACGATCAGCACACTTTTACTTGCTTACAAAGTGAACACATACAACACAACGGCAGCCGACGTTTCGGCAGCATCGCCTGGTTCAGAGCCTTGTCATTCTCACTTTCGTTCTGTTCGTTACAGTAGCTTTCGCCAGAACATGGATTTTATACTTGACACCAAAATACAGTGATATAATAATTCACAGTTTGTTAAGTTCAGACTGTTTGATTTTTTGATTTTAAACAAATTATTCTTAGAAGAATGCTTAACTTTCACTTATAGTATTTCATTGCTGTGACCATAGGGTAATACGTGAAATATAGGCGCGAATCTTGCTTAGAAGTAGCAATGTTTCGAAAACCATGTGAGCTTTGAACTCGCTATTTAACCTGTCCAAGGGTTCACGTGTTACCCACTGCACCATCAAGGCTTTTGCTTTCTTTTTCTCTTCGCCAGTTTTCTTCCTAACAATGCTATCAGCAATCAGCCGTCAATGGACATAACTTGAGGAGCACATACCGGCATTGAACACTGTTAAACTGAAGGTGCAGAGGAAATAAAAATGTCTTGGCTTTCATTTACTGCCTGAAATCTAAGGCACTGTGATTTCGACTGCAACTTCACTTCGCCTAAGTTCACTGCCGATTTCTCTCGTCCAGATCACTCCCGTTGACGGGTGATTGCTTATAGCACAGATCTTATTGTGTCCGGTGTTATTTCTATCACTTTTACCGAGTTATCTAGACCGGCCTTTAAGCAACGTTTTACAGTTGTCCGCATTTCGTTTGAAATGAAGAGGAAGATGAACGAAGCCTTGTTCTTCCTAGAATTATCGTTTTTGGGCGTGGTTTTTCCTCAAGCCTTTGCTGAAGAGCGAATATTTCGTAGCCACTCGGAATGAATATTTGCAGCTTCAAATTTAAGGACTTTTCTTTCGGCTCTCTCCTTGCGCACAGATTGGGAGCTGTTCGAAGCTTATTTCTCATAAAGCGCCCTTTTGGTGTGCGAGGAACGAGAGGACACGTGATGGACATGAGTCACTGTTTTTTTACTATTTAGCTTTTGTTACCATTTTGTAATGCAGCCGTTTTGATACAGGTTAATTTGAACGTTCAGAAATGGAGGGAAAGCAGTTTTCTTCCCGTTTCTCTAGAGTGTTATATGATTCCATGTGCATACAACAAACAAGAAGTGGAATGGCATAGATATGCCGTTAGATGATGGAACGCTTGCTATAGGTGGAGGAATTCTGTTACCAAATGCAGTGGCGCGATCCTTGTCGTCGATGAATATGGCGCAATCGCAAAAACGTCACCCATCGAACACTACAGGAACAACAACCACTACGACAACTTGTGTAAACTTCGCATCAGTTCAACAAGGGCTATTGGAAGGAACATATTAGACGCTTACTTGATACTTGAATGGCTCATCCTCACTGGTTGTGCCGCCCGCAGCATAATCTCCATTTTTCTGGAGATTTGCTGGTTAAGCCACTGCGGTTCCCTGGAATCCCGAGGTCAGCCTGGCCAAATTCTGCTCCAGGTCTTCACCACCGCATGAAATCGCAGCCATTGTTGATCACAGGGAGATTTGCCACATGCGACTTTTATACCAGAGCAGTGGTGGGTCCTTGTATTGGTTTACTCTTTGCCAGGTTTCCTGATGGAAACGCCGGTCTGTTTCACATCTTCGGTGGCTCAGCCAGGGCGATGAATCCTCACGCTATACATGGTAGGACGGCACCCTGGAACCTCCCAGCAACCATGAAGTGGTAAACCGTTGGGAGTAACATTTTTGGTATTGGTCGTCAACCACATGCGACTACTATAATCGGCTGTTCTAAACTTTCTCATTGGAAGTCACGAAAAAGCGGCTCTGAAGAAGGCGATATTGCCGAGACGTCAGCTAGCGTTGTATTGTATTGTGTTTTTTTTTGGAAGTAAATGTATGCTGTTTAAAAACATTGCGATTGCTGAACAAGAAAACGACACAATCATATTCCAATGCCGAGGTTAATAGGAAGTCGATCCTGGCAACTATTTTTGGTACTACATGGTATTATTTTTGGTATTGTTGGTGTTGGTCGATTGCTGACGTTTCTGCGATTGCTCCTTCTTCAGAGCCGGGTTGTTTCGAGTGGGATCTCCGTAAGAGCACGAATCTGACGAACACGAAATTGCCGAACCATCTGCTATCGTACAACAGCAATCACAACAACAACAACAACTTATATCAACTTCGCATCAGTTCAACAAGGACAGTTTATAGAAACATTTATAATAGATAAATCTGCTATTTATCCCAGCGTATCTCGATATTCGAATATCTCGAATGCCGATATTGGCTCCCCAGATCAACCCCGTTGACGGGTGATTGCTGTTGGCAAAAAAGATCGATAGAAGTAGCTGAGATACATGCAAAGCGAAGGACCCGGATGGTGTAGTGGTGAAGTGCGCTGCTCGCCGGTAAGGACAACAGCGCGTATTCGTTCTCCACTGCATACACCTGTGGTCCGGAGTTTTGGAAATATCTCAGCATTTCATACGAGTTATATTTCGCAGTGCATAGTATTGATTTCATTACATTCCTCCACCCTAACACATATTCAAATTTTCCCACCTTTTCAGGCAACAATTTATTGTGTAGGTTCCTGATTTCCTTACATTCTAAGACATATCTAGATCCTTCGCATCATCTGCATGTGTCAATTTTGTACCGTACTTCTTGATCCTCCTCATTCTCAACATCAGGCGAACAACAAGTGGTTCAAAACTCCAAGGCAACCCACCTTGTGCAAAGAGTGCACAAGGAATATTGTTCGGTTCTTAAACAGTTTCTTCTTGCTCTAACCTTTTTTCCAGAAGATACGCGCTCCTCCGACTTAAGCCTTTTACTTGCAGGGCACGCTATGTACTCACCACTTTTGTTGAATGATGGAAGGCTTGCTGTACATGGGAAGTGGCATCGAACCAAAAACCACATGTGTACTACACGGTGCATCTAACCATTGTGTTACATGTGGCCCACATAGCAACACAAGGATAGAATATTTTGCTTTTAGCATAACCTTTATTATTTTTCAACATATTTTGTGAAACAAAAAACAGCAATTCTCCATTTCACGAAATTGCAAAAATTTTCATAAAATCTAAAATGTTTGCACGACCCGTCTTCACGTCTACTGTGTGGATCACAGTAGTTCTCACATGCATTATCCACGAAGATCTTCCAACTTTTATCTGTGGTTTCGGCTATTGCTTAAGGATTTTCATTTCATCTTGAATGTCATAAAATGCTGGTCGAGTCGATTCTTCCTGTAATCGTAAGATACCGTGCTGGAAAGTTCCGAAAAGGATTGCAAAGAGAGATTTTTTCCCGGATAACTCCTATACTAATTTTACGGCCACGAAGGGATGAGAGGCCTGGTGGGCCCGGAGCGGGATCGAATGAGCACTATGCTCATGATTACTTGCATCAAACGACTGCAATAGCACGACATCCGTTATTGTCCTTAAGAAATCCTAAGAATATAAAAGAGAACACGAGAAACAAGCTAGTTGTCATGTCACAATGAGTAGTCAAACAGTTTGGTGCTCTATGGCGAGTGGAACCTTGATCATTTGGTGTAGATCGATTGTTTTTCTTTTCATGTACAACTAATCGCATTTTCATGAAATCGTATTTTCGACATGAAAGAAATGGTGCAGTCGTGTGAACCGATAACTGCCGAAGAGAATAAAGGACTATTCGGTCTGCAGATTAAGAGGAATTGCTAGACTCACTCCCACGATTGAGCAGTTACTGGAGGTCTGTCACACTGGCTGTAGTAGCCACATTTAGATTTTTTGGCGACATTATAACCGATTGTGGAAAAAAAAACTTTCACACGACCAATCA